GTATATAATCAAACTTTCTGTTGATTTGAAAAATTTTAAGAGAGACTTACAAGTTATTTTTTTATTTTAATTTTTATTTATTTTAGAGCTGCAGTAAATCTGGGGAAATAGCTTCTAATGTTTTTCATTTGAGCCACATAAACAAAAACAAAAGCAAAAAAAAAATGTCCACAAATTGCAAAACCCTCTGAACAACAAGAAGTTTGAATGTTTGAATAAAACCATGTGTGGATACAAAGATAATTCCTGTAATTTACTTTGACAATAGTTTTTTTCAGAGATTAGCTTTCTGTTTTCTGTTCTGTTGATATAAAAACAGTTATCAGTTATTCAGGCCTTATCTGCCTTTTTTTGATGTGCTGTAAACAAAACACTGAATTTCCCCCAGCGTACGTCTCTGTTCATTGTTCTTGAACACAGTTTTACTACTGAGAAAACATCTTAGACTAAAATAAATAAATAAATAAAAACATCTTCTAAAGTTACATTTCCATTGTGCTGGTGATAGAGATGGCTCTTATCCAGACAACCCTCAGAGGGTCTCCTGAGGGGAAAAAAAAACATTTATTGTATTTTTGTCAGAACAGAACATTTATCTAACCAAGAAGAAACAATGCAAACGAGCTGAACTCTGCAGATCTGAGCAGGATGAGTGCTGTGACTCACCTGTGTTTTTCCTGTTGTGTTTGTGACATTTCTAAAAACATGAATGTGTGTTTGGTGCAGGGAGAACATCCTTACCCCTGGCCCATGTTTCTATGCTTTCCTCCACCTCCCTGCTACGTTTTGAACCCACAGGACTCCCACAGGAACTCACAAGGTAGGAGAAACATCATCTTTATTTTCATTAGCAATGGTTTTTAATGCTACTTCTGCATTTTTGATGAGTTTTTGCTAAATAAAAAGTGACAAGTTGGGTTTAATTAGTTTTATTTACCAAGTTTTAAGACTTTGTAACAATCAGTTCTATGATAGTTGGACTGTAGATACATACAATCTTAGAGATGAAAAATAATTCCTTTTCCTGACCTTCAGACTGTGAGATCAGCACATTTCTGGCCTCATCAGGAGAAGCAGGGAATGAAGAGAGTTGGTTGGAGATCTGCAGAAAACATTACTGCAGAGTCATGAAGACCAAAGCCAACACTCTAACTGGACAGGGTAGGTTTCTGGATCCCTCTGAACCTGCGTTTATTACCCATCAGCATAATGAGTTGATGGACTAGTTAATAAACTCTTATACTGTTGGAAAGCCTGTTAATTTCTTTATTAAATGATGCCACATTTGTAAGGAACATGCATTTGAGGGATGTGTTGCATGGAAAATGTGTCAAATGCTCTCTGACAAACAGCTTATTCTCCTGTTGACTCATTTTTTGAGCAGTTCTAGGACATTTACCCCCTGGACACTTACTCCCATAGGCCTTTTACTTTCCGGACACTTACTCCCATAGGCCTTTTACTCCCCGGACACTTACTCCCCGGACACTTACTCCCATAGGCCTTTTACTTCCTGGACACTTACTCCCCGGACACTTACTCCCTAGACATTTACACTCCGGACATTTACTCCCTAGACATTTACTCTCCGGACATTTACTCCCCGG